ATGCGTTTCCTTCTGCAGAACTCGGTGAAGGTGGCGTACAGGTGTCTGTGGCCGAGCTGCGGTAAAGTGCTGACGTCTGTGGTGGGAATTAAACGCCATATCAGGACGACACACCTGTGGTAAGCCTCACCGGACGGCGGCTCCATTCTCTGGCGTTGCTCAGCCTCAGGACGAGCTAAATATGGAAGCTCGTTACTGCCAGAAACATTTGAAAACTTCAGATTTATATCTTTACATTTTTATATCAAGTCTGACCGCAGCTGCTCCCACACAGATATGCAATGTGTTCATATTTACATTTATTTTTTAAATCCTGAAATTTCAGCATTTTAATGAAATTTCTGACATCAATGGGCTTCCATATATTTTAAAAACTGTATTTATATAAAATTGTTCTTCAGAAAGTTTTTCTGACAGTAAGGAAGGAATTTGTTTAATAATAACCTCTGACCTCTTACAGCCGTGGTGGCGAACATGAGCGCTGTTCCCGCAGTGAGGAGGATTTTTACTACACTGAGATCAACCAATGGGAGCATCCGCAGCAACGGTCTCCTCCCCATTCTGGACACAGCGGCTCCTCCCCCGCCTCACCGGCTTCCTCCCCGTCCTCGCCTTCCAGCCCACCAACACCGTCTCCCTCCTCTCCCTCCTGTGCCGCCCTGAGTTGCTCCGCCCCCTCGTCTTCTGGCAGCTTCTGGCAGGTCCAATCAGAGCACTCCTACCAGGTGTGTTGATGTTTTTTCGGCTGTAAAATATTAATGATTACTTTTATTGTTATAGTTAACTCGTATTTTTTTGTTTTTAGGCTCCTCCTCCGAGTCAACACGTGGTGTCAGCGGCAGCAGCCACACCATCCTGCCGTTGGACAGCCCCGCCCACCACCTGCCACAAACAGGTAAATCTTCAGAGCAACTAAGATCTGTATTTATAGGAACCTGAGAGAACTCGTTATTAACGGGTCGCTCCCGCACATCTGGGATCTCCATGTTTGATTTGATGTGGTTTCCACGTTTTTACGCCATCACGGGTACATTTATCCGGGCTCATGATGCCGCGAGGAGCACGCTAACTTGCGATCAGGGATCTGAACCTTTGTTATCTGTGAAAACATAAACACAGAAGTATCTAAATAGTCTCTGCTGCGGGCTCAGCACGCCCACAGAGGATAAACAGCGGAGCTCAGCAGGCGTGGGTGCTGCCCGTCTGCAGGCTCAGCTGATATCGCCCCCAACACGACGCGGATACCTGGATGTAAAGTCAGAGCAGTTGTTGATAAGCTGAGTTAATAATAGAACTTTGGCTGTTTTTAATCACACGGCTCTGCAGTAGGTGTCTGTGTCGCTGTAGTTGAAGCAGGATGCAGCTGCTGCTGGGGGAGGTGTGAGCTTAAAGGTCGAAAAACAAAAAACAGTTCGATCAGAAAGTTTCCCCAAAATTCAGACTTCAGTTTTTTAATAATCAGGTTTTATTGTGAAGGTGTGCTGAACTCACACTTTGTGTCCTCGAAGCTACCGAGGAGCAGCGTGGACAGTTAGACACTACAGCTGCGTCGAATGGGCTAAAAAAAACAGTATCCGGTTACCATGACGTCTGGCACCAGATGTATCCTTCAGTGAGACCCACAGTGTAATTGGTTGGGTCCACGATGAGACCAGCTCACCTGTCCCCCCCCAATTCAGAAAAAGGATCGTGAAGCAAACTTCTGTTTCATCCCTTTAATCCGACAGAATGAGTCAGACTCATCATTACTGCACCACAGAAGTTGTTGCTTCCCTGCTGGAGCGTTTGTAGGTATTTCAGGATCCATCAGAGAAAAAAGCTTCAATTAAAGCAGGAAAAGTTTGCTGCTGCTAGCATGGTGGCACCCGGACACCGAACGTCTCTCAGTCTGAGGTGGAACCGACATAAAAACTAAAAGCGTCCCGCAGCAGGGTGTCAGAGGTGTAAGGTGAAATTTTGGCTCACTTGTGCTTTGGGCACAAAAACTTGGCGTGACAGAGCTCTGACGAAGCTGCTGCCCTCGGCCGGGTCTTTACGGCGGAAAGTCCACAATTAACCCAAAGTTATCCTTAAAGAAGAGTGAAGGTTGTGTCCTAACAGAGTGTGTGTGTGTGTGTGTGTGTGTGTGTGTGTGTGTGTGTGTGTGTGCACAGTGAGGCTCTGTCTTCATTAAAAACAGACTTTTCTGTCCCCGATCTGCAGAGGAAGCAGCACGGAGGACTTTCCCTGAGAATTTTAGGTTCTATCCAAGTTTTTAAAGCTAATTACGGTGCATCTCCCCCACAGCCGGCTCTCTGCCCTCACTTCTCCAATTCGGTGTTTTCTCGGTGAGTGTGCACAGCAGCCGATTGTTTGCTTCCTGCCACCGCAGCCTGTTCAAACTGGTTTCATTCTGGAGAAAGGAGGGTGCGTACTCCTCCCTCATGGTTTCATTCAGGCAGGAAAATCCCCTCACATCATTTGTGATTAATTCTCCATGAGCTGTGCGCTGCAGAGCAGCGCTGCCACCTGCAGGCCGGCAGAGGACACTGCTCAGTGGTGACGGCTGTAAACAGCTGCTTCATGCACGACTGCACGACTGAAAACAGGCTGCTGGGCCTGAAAATAAAAACAAAACACCTCCTGACAACGAGCCAGACACACAATAACATGAACGTGTAGAGGCGTCTTGTCTTTTTCATCCTTCTGTGGCGATTTTATCTCATGTCTCTTTGATTCTTTGTCTCTGCTTTGGTCATTTTATGTTTTTTTGAATTATCGTGCTTCTCTTTGACTTTCCAACGTGGAATATGAACACTTTAATCGAGGCTCCGTCCCCGAGAACAGGTCACGGCGCCCTGCTTCTGTTTTTTTTGTTCGTGCTTCAGAAAGCAACAGAGAAACAATGAAAAGCTCCAATCTGACCTCCTCTTCCTCTCTCTTCTTCAGAGTCTGTCATTCCGGGTGCGTTCGGTCAGCGTGGGAGAGCAGTGGCTGCAGCATCAGAGCGCCCCCTCCAGGTCAGTGCTTCTCTTTTGTTGAACAAAGACTGTATATATGAGATGGCTGTAGTCTATGAGATCCTCCCATTCAGCTGATCGCTGAGCTCAGTGCACACGTCCCTGATAACGAAGCCACGGGAGGAAAACTCGATGACACAGTGGCGTCTGATTGGCCAGCTGCTGTCCTATGTTGGCTCGAGCTTACAGCTTCCTTTCATGTGCGTGAAGCTTTAATCTTGAAGTCATTCGCTGACCCTTTTGTCTCCGTGTTTTTTCAGGAGGATTCGCGGCGAGGCCAAAAAGTGTCGTAAGGTTTACGGCATCGAGCACAGAGACCAGTGGTGCACAGCCTGCCGCTGGAAGAAAGCCTGCCAGCGCTTCCTCGACTGAGGCGATGGGAAGAGGCAGGAAGACTGGGAGGAAGAACAGAGGCTGGACTTTACTGGTGGATGTTTCTTTTAATGTTTTTACATCTGGAACCAGAAACGGTCCCAAACCTGTGCGATGAACATTTGGCAGCTCTGAAGCAGCTTTACACGTCCGCGTCACTTCCAGCTGAGCGCTCTGCGACTAAAGGAGCATTTCACGGTTTCTGCCGCTCACAGCAGCTGCTCTTATCTCTCTGTAAACACTTTGACTCTACTGACCTGAAGTAACTACACTCGGAGGTCAGTTTATTAGGAACACAGCAGCAAATCTGCCATCATGGAGGTTTCAACACGTCGGAGCTGCTTCACACGTATCCTGCTCAGCGATGTCGACCAAATAACAAAAACGGACGCCTGAAGTGAAGCAAAGGTTGAAGGTTACGTTTTTAATGAGTCAGATTTACAGACTGTCCAAGTCTGGTTTGGTGCTAAAAATCCAAATTTAAAAGAAAAGCAGCACACGTGAGATCCTGGAAGTCAGATTTTAGTTTGAAATCTCAAGCTCAGCGTCTCGCTGTGAGAGGGTGAAGAGAATATTTACAGGCAGTTTCTACAGTTTTTTCTTTTTTAACAAAAATTTTAAGCAGAAAATTCAGTGCTGCTTCCATTTTTTAAACTTGCTGCTCCTAATAAACTGGTGACAGAGTACGTAACATTTGCGTGCATATATATAAATAGAGCTATAATGAAAGAGTTCCTCTTGGAGCTAACACCTGGCACCTATTTTTTTGTTTCTTTTTGATATGTTGTATAAAGAGCAGAACTGACCGTCAGCAGCTTCTGATCGCTGCGACGTCGGCGAGTTTCTGAGAGGCTGAAAACACTTAAAACGAGACTTTTCTCGAGCAGGTTCTGCTGAAACGCGGCCGCTAACGTCCCGTTTCTCAACATCTCGTCTGGATTAAGTCTTTTTTTTTTTGTAATGTTTGGAAGCTGAAGCCATTTCCGTCTCTGTGCAGTATTGATCCGTTTACACAGAGTTATAATATCTATATTTTATATCTGCTCTTTTCTGAGATGTACATACAGATGATGTATTATGGGTCCAAATATGACGTCAATCATCAGTCTCACCGCAGCGAATACGAGACAAAGATGTGTTGATATTGTTTATGAAGCAAACGAGGAAGCTGAGGAGCAAGATCGTGTCGTTTTTACCGTGATTTCTTTTCTACATGATGTCAGTCCTGATGTTGTAGTAAATAAAGCAGAAAAAACTCTGGAAACGTCTTCGGTCCTTTTATAATCTGAACAAATCGCTGTTTAAGACTGATTTAATTTTGTGTTTCTCACAATCTTATTTTCACAGATCCGAAGCTTTTTATGAATCTCAGTTTTTGTCTCTTGGTTTAAGGTTTTTAATTCTCGCAAATCTGAAATTTCTTCTTGTAAATTTGAGCTTTTTCTCACAAATTTGTTTTTCTTTTGAATTTAAAGCTCAGAATATCAACCCCCACCCCACCTCTTTTTTTAAAACCTTTGTCCGTCATGATACCTGATGGAACAGAAGGGCTCGAATGCTCAGAGGTTCTTTGTGTTTTAAATAAAGTTTTTATTCATGACTCAATAATCACAACAAACTGAACAAAAACTTCCGTAAACAATAAAAAACAAAGCAAACTGCCGCACACACCCACACAGGTGACCGCTGTAATAAATTATATGTACAGTCCAGGTCCATCCGGGACTTTGTCCCACAGAGGAACTCCCAGAGAGCCGGCCGCCCAAATCTAAAGAGAAGAAAAGGCGACATTAACGACGAATAACACCGGCACAGAAGAAGAAAATGTGAGAATCTGCTGGAGCAACTTTATGTTGACTGCATCTTTATGCTGTGGTATCAGCATCTACTTTCACAAATCAGATCTTAAAGCCTTTTTTACTTATTAAACAGCATATTTATCTGTGGATTTTATTGTGAAAGGTCAAGGTAGGAAGTAGCTGCACTTCTGCATGTGTGTAAATGAAGAGACAGCAAAGTGTTTTTGAACGTTAAAACACGCACGCTGAGATAAAGGATTATTCTGAACAATCATGCAAAGCTCCTCTCAGAGTCCAAGCATTAAAGAAAAGGAACAAAGCGAGTAAAGCTGAAGCACAGAAACACAGCAGAACGTCTGCCGCAGAGCACGAGGAGCTCGTCCCTGCTGCTGCGTCGTGTCGGCAGAAAATGTTTTAATGAACAAAAACGATTTTGGTACAATTGATTTTTAAGAGCTGCACTCAAATAAAGTAAACAAGGAGGGCCGATTCTGATGGACATGCGCACGTGTGTGTGTGTGTGTTGTACTTGCCATTTATCAGTTTTGTTGTGGGTCGACTCGCTCTTTCCATCACAGGCGACAATCTTGACCTTGTCGACCTTCACGAGCTCGGTGACCTCTCTGAACTCAACGTCGTTCAGAACGAACGTCCACACGTTGTCGCAGAACCTGTATGTGTTCAGAGATCCCTGAGAGGTGGAGACAGAGACAGAGGCGGGGTTGGATGATTTTTTTTTTAGGAGGCGGAGCTTGAGAAAATACAAATGGACTCACCCTGAAATTGACCCTGTTGCGGACTCGGTTGGCGAGCGCTGTGTTGATGGCTTTATCGAACTGGAGGAGGACCTGAAGAGCGAGCTGAGGAGTTATCTGCTGAGTCTGAACACACACACACACACATTTATTAGTTTAAATTTAAGATTTTTAAATAATAAACAGCTCAAAGAAATGGTGGGAACACGCGATCATTGTAGTAAAACACAAAGTCAGGTGAACATTCGAAGAAGAAACCACTGAATCTATTTCACCTGCACAGGTGCAAATGAAATGAGATGAACTCGAGGGCAACAACAAGACAACACTCACAAACAGGAATGTTGTAACAGCTGATGGCACACGGAACAAAACCAGAGAATTACTTTTGTTTGTGTAGTTACTCTCCTAATTTTATACCCAGTTCCTAAAATTATAGCCCAGCAGACCGGTGGGTGTGCTGCCACCATCTGGTAGAACTCGGTACAACAGTGAAGTGCAGCCATTCAAACTTGTGTTGGCATCTTTGCCAACACGAATTGTTTTTGAACTAAAGTCTTAACGCTTTGTTAGTTCTAAAAGGTTTAAGACTTTTTTGAAACAAGACTTTACAGAAAAATCAGAAGCACAATTTACATTTTCAAGCCAATTTTTTTCTGAAGTGATTTAAACAGATGTGCTGTACTCAGGTCATCTGCCACTTTGCACTAAAGTGGTTTGGTCATTGAGCACACAGGACTTTCCTCTGCCTCTGGAGGGAGCACTGATTGGTCTACGTGTAGTTAAAGAGTCAGATGTTTCCTCGTATTTCTCACCACCTGAAGAACAAACTATACTCTCCCACAGTGCGGCACACCTGAGAGGGCGAGTGTCAGAGCATGATGTGAGGTTCAGACGTGAAAAAGAAGCGTCAACTCGTTTAATTAAAAGGCTTTCTCACCCTTGAACCAGGTAAACAGAACCTTCATCACTGTTACAGAACAGTAACTTGTACGTCTGTGAACTTTGACCTCCTCGCTTTTATTCATCCCCTACAGCTCACACCTGCAAAATTGTAACCCCTCTCCGGCAAAAACTTGATTTTTTGCTTGTTTTCTGGAGTCTAAAACATGGTACAGCTAGCAGGCTACTGTTAGCTCATCCGGCTAACAGGCTAGCGGGGAGCTGAATGCCACCAACTGGCAGCACTGGCTCCGTGTCCGCGGGCAGTGTTACCTGTATAAGCTCGTCCAGACTCTCCTGCAGGCTGTTTCCCAGCGTCGTGTTCCTGTACAGCTGATACGCCATTATGGAAACTCCGAATGAGCGAAAACCAGCAGCGAACTATCCTCCAAACACAGGACGAGCAATCGGAGCTAACTGCTTCCCTCCACAACAACAGCCTGAACGACCACAAGCTAAAAAGCTAACAACACACTTCCGCTAAGATTTTTCGAAATAATTGTCACTCTGACTACGTAAAATAATTTATGCTTTTAAAATATCGAGTTGTTAGTCGTTGACATTTTAATTTAATATTTTAAATTCATTTTATTAATTTAGTTCAAAAGGTATTTTGAATATGTCAACAAATTTACTTTTATTAGTTTATAATCAATAAAATATTTCCTTTATGATTTTGTTAAAAGTTATGTATATAATTTAAGTAATTTTTATTATTTGTTTAAATATTGTATTAAACATTGTCATCTATTTTTAATATTTTAAGAGATTGTGTTACTTTATTCACCTTTTTAAAAAATAATTTCATGTTATTATGTTACAGTATTTTCAGGACTTCCGACGAGTGGATGTGATGATGTTGTGTTTTTGTCAATACTCATGTTTGCTCAGAAAGGACTTTTTATTTTGGAGTTTTATTTTGGAGGTGGCCTCTTCCTAGTGTGTATTGCTTACTTGATGCAGAAAAAGTCTTTTTCCTTCGAGTTTTCTTCTTTTTAAAAAATGATTTCATCCACGTTCGATTTCTACTTTGTTTGTACCAGTTTTATAGGGTTTCTAGTTATTTTTCAGTTTTTTGCTCGTCTTGTTTTTAAAGTGAAGCTGATGAGATATCACAGCTGTGATTGTAATAGGAAGCACTAGATGGCAGCAAAGCTTCAAACTGTAGAAACACTAACCTTCCTCTGCAGCTCCTTCATTTATGACAGCGGTTCCCAAACTGTTTTTGCTAGGCCCCCCTTTGTTTTACAAGAAAAATGTTGTTGT